AAACAAAACTTCAGACCTCACAAAGTACCGAATTTCTCTGCTGTCATTAAAGCATGCAAGTCATTTATCAGGAAGGCTTCTTCCTGAGCATGCAAAAAGATGCCACTGCTTTTAGAGTTGCATTAAATATATGCTACTCTGGTTATTCACTTAATTAAAGCAGTGGTAACTTTTTCACATACATGGCAGAATTGTGCTTGCACAAGATCCAAAATCCAAAAAATTTAAAGTCCATTTATACCAACTATGGCATTATCAAATACTGTCACCGTGTATGTGAACTAGTGGTAGTACCAGGGCTCATTAAAAGCATTTGGAGTTTTGCAAAAATAAATAGTAGCAGTCAATCATAATTAGTCTCTTGGAAGTTTTATCAATAAATTTGACTAAAAACAGTAGTTTTTCATTGCATATCAATGTCCAGGTCAATATCAAGGGTTCATCAAATTAGAGTTAAAAACTTCTGGATGAACATCATACATTAGTACATTCAATGTCTTCAAATGTCAACAGTCCAATTTTTTTTTAAGCAATGTGCTTTTGGGACCAATCCTGTTGCTTTAGTAACTTTAGTTAAAATTTCATTCACTCTTCCCTTTGTAACTTTTTTCATTATCAATCCATTCCTATCATTACATATTCAGCACAATACTGATGAGAACTAGGAAGGGGAAGGGTGGAGGTACATCTGCAGAAAATAAGTCTCTAACTGGTCCACTGTTAGGAATGATTAGAACTTATAGAAATTAGTCCTACAACATAAATATTTAACTGAGGACTTATTTCAATCATTTATCATGAGAATTTTTTAGCTTATTTTTAACTTTTGATTTATCATGGAAGACTAACATTTTTTAAAAAAAAATATCATGCCAATTAGTCATATTAATAAGACAACAGTTAATAGCAATACACAGAAAAGGCAGAAGGGTTGCCCATGATTTTAGTACTACGCTGCTTTTGTTCTTAGTCAAAGTCCATGCTGGCTAGAGGTTTCTGGGATTGAGATCACACACCTTAAAATTGCCAAGATTGAGAATAATAGACTCTTCTTAGTGCGAAGACAGAAAATGGAATTCTCTGTTCAGGAAAAAGCTAGACAGTTAATAAAAACAGAAGGTAAGACCCATCTTACACTGTGATTTTAATTTTGAAGTTTAATTTTGAATATATGTATATGTGTATGTATAATACATATACATATACACATTCAAAATTAAACTTATTTCCCGGCAAACAGATTGCAACCATATAATCTCAAAAAGAGCAAGCTGTCTTCTGATAGAAAGTGGGTTAGCATATCAAACTAAAATAATATGGTTACTTTGGATGTGCTGTACAAAACCAAAAATTATAGTTTGTAGGCCATGAATAATAGGATAGCTTGCTGAATGACTCTAGTCAAGTCTGATTCATTCAAGGACTAAACAAGTCCCAATCACAACATATAGCAGTTCCTAGGTTACCTCTGTTAATCTCAAAAAGCTAAGCAGGGTAAGGCCCAGTTAGTTCTTAGACAGGAGTCCTCCAAGACTGTAAACTAGTCTGGGAAATCAAAAATATTCTTTAAAACGGACACTTCCTTCTGGTTGCTGGGAACAGATACTTCCATGTAGTCAGGGGGAGCTGAACTTGAAGGATTTGCATTTCAGCATACTTCAAAAATGATTAATAATAATAAGTGCCTTAGATCCCACATAAACACAACACTCTTCTGCTATTCATTACAACAGCCCAATGTTTTCACTTCATGTCTGGAAAGAAGGTACCACTGCTGTAAGAGTTACTGTTAGAAACAGCAGCTTTTGTTTCAGGCTTGCTCAGAAACCTGAAAAGAATCAGTCTGCCTTCATAGCTAGGTGTAGTATTTGCCTGAGATCCAAAAGCACTTATTCAAGATACTGGTAATTTCTGAAGTATATGCAACCCTAATGTTTACCTGGTATGAAAGAGTATGAAATTAGATCTATTTCTATTGGCCAGGAAGGAATTCTTGAAAAGCTGACATAATCACATCTTGGCAGTATACTCAAGCAATCTTTCAACCTACAGGATAACTGTTGACTGAGATATAATTGATCAAGACTTATTTGGCATGTAATAATTTATTCATGTTTTTTTAAAGGAACTACAGCCTAAGAATTCTTGTCTACAGTATTCCTACTGTGGACGCACATAATTCAGTAGTTATTTCATATATTTAATGTAGTTGGCTCTTGATTAAGACAATTCATGTAGTAAACTTAATAAACAAAGTGTTTACAGGCCCATATGTATGTTTAAATAAAACTTCATTGTAATGGATATTGGTGAGGGCAAATCAAGTTATTTACTGATTAATATTAAACAAGTATAATTAGAGGAAGAGCACACTGACTTTAGAAAAATGCATTTCATTATACATGGGTAGAGAATTTCAGCCAAACATATGATAGAAATTTAGTGCTGGCATAAATACAAAATAGAGTCACCAAAAGAAAAGGGATTTTATTTCATTTGAAAGCATTTGGTTAACAAAAGGAAATATATTTTTAAAAACTAAGTGGCTTTCAGTCTGGTATAATGAGTGACACAGGAAATACAACACAGAACAATCTATTTTAAGATTATGAAAATGTAAGCAAATATGGAAACGTCAAAGGCTTCTTTCTTTTCTTTTCCATTTTTTTGGGGGGCTGAAACAAAGCCCCAATTCTGCACTTTGGACATTGGTCCAAGAAAAAAAAAAAAATCAGAAATCCAGGTGATTATCCAAACATTGTAATGCTTCTACAGTACCACTCTAAATTCTTCTTAGCTAAACTCTTTATACTTGTAGCATCAGCATTTAATAAATGTAAATTAATTTTTGAAATTAAAACTTTATTAGTGTATTTCACCTTCATTATCGTATAAGTAATTCAAAGCATTGAACAAACATAATATTCTTTCCCTTTCTGTTTTTCTCACAACAACCCTGTGAGGTGGGTTGGGTGACTAATTCAAAGTCTAGTGGAACTAGAACTCAGTCTCCTGGTTTCTAGTCCTGTACCTCATTCACTAGCCTTATACACCAAACTGACTTTAAGAATATATCTCCAAAATAAGACAGCAAGAGTATAAAAGCAGATTTTCTGATAAATACTGATGTCAAACTTTCCCTAGTCCAAGTCAGGGAAGTAGTTGGCTATTTCTTGTCCAAATATTTAAAAAACGATCAGCTAAGCATCAACCCACCCTGCTTCGCGACCCAACTCCTCCTCTAGGGTGAATTTCTTGACTTACGGAGTCCCCCTTTTCTTTATTATTACACTTGGAAAACAAAATCCTCAAGTTTAGATCTTCGGCTTCCCTTCCAAAAAGCAATCACTCCCGCCCCAGAAGTCACTTCTCCATTTCTTCTACCTTCCCTTTTCTTTCCTTACTCTCCTGTAGCTGTATTACACTGTCTCTAGCAAAGTGCTCCCTAGTCTCGCCACGCTTGCAGAAGTTCCCTCCCAGCCGCGCAGGGCACACATTCACCTGCAAGGAAGTTACTGATCTCCTCGGGGATGGCGGGCAAGCCCTGCATCATGACCAGGTGGTCGCACGGGAACCCCTTGCTCAGCGAAGGCAGGGAAAAGGTATAACCACACCCCTTTCCCGGCTCCGGGAAGTTAGTTAATAAACCTCGGAGGCGGGGCTACTCTGCCAGCTTCTGCAACAATAGTCATTTCCCGTATCTTAAGTAGTATTGCGCATGTGCCCTTAGCACCGGAGCACGCTTGCGTTACTGCAAAAGTTCCCATTTCTATGGTTACAAAAACTCCGGACTGCCAAGTATCGCAGCACGTGACTCCAGTTTTGCATTTCTCTCCATATTTAGTGTGGGCTTCCCGTTCTTAAGTTTCACTTGAGTCTTAAGTTTTTTCCATTATCAAAAATGGCCAAAAATGGTCCACGGCAGCTTCAGACTTTGGGGATTTCTATTCGATAAAACGTTTGGAACATGGATATGCAAAAAGCTTCTTTGATTGGCTGAATTGCGTTTTCCACGGTTTTAGTTCTCGACCACCTTGACTCGGTTTGCAGTCTTCTAATTCTGCACGATCTGGGATTCCAGGTTTTAATAATCGGGCATTTATCCTGGCTGCAGTGGTATGTCATTACCGGAATGACTCCTTTGGGGACGAACTGGATTTTCTTTTGAGTGGACTTGCATAAAAGAATGTTCTGTTCACCTGTAGAAGGTTCTGTGTCCGGAATAAAGTGGAAAAAGTAAAATCCGCTTGTGGAGAAATAGCAGCCAAAAGATCACTCGCAGGAGAAGGCTTTTTCAGTTTTGTTTTGATTTCAAGCAGCAATTTGCTTTCACACCTCTGTACACATCTAAAAAAAATTAAAATACAAGATTATTTCTTGTTCTGTAGTTAATGCAAAGTCATGACTTTCTAATCAGTTGCAACTTTCTGAATCTCAAAAATAATATTTGTGTATGCACTTAAAATTTGGTTTCCCAAATTGAAGTCAATCTAGGGGAGGCACAAATATTTTTTGCGCCTCCCTTTTGTAATTTTATTGTAACAAACATTGTTACAGAAAAAAGTTCCACCTTTCCTGAAGTTTCATTGTACTGTTTTCCTTATTCATTTCTGTTCATTTTGGTATTTAATTTTTAGGTGTACATTAAGGTTATACCAAAGAGAAGTTTAATGGCAAAAAGTTTAGGAACCCCTGCCTAGAAGGAATGCAAAAGAAGTTGAACAAATTTATAGTTGCTAAAGCTGAGCATGCACAAACAAAAATAACCTCTTAATTATACTATTATTGATTAATTCTGAAAATCATTATTTTCTCCAACAATTCTGTATTCCATTTTTTTGTATAGAAAAGATGCTATACACATAGAATGAAAGAATGGACTTTTTTTAAGTCCATTGATCTATAAAGCATGACATTACTGACAGAAGTGTTCGCTAGAATTTCAATCAAGAAAATATCTAGGGTTGAATTTAGAATTTGGTTGCTTCCAGGTATGTTGCGATTACAATTCCCAGAATTTATAAACAGCAGATGAAACTCAAATACTTTGGCCACCTAATGGGCCACCTAGTGGAAGGACTCACTGGAGAAGAGCCTAATGTTGGGAAAGATTGAGGGCAAAAGAAGAAAGGGACGAGGTGGCTGGATGGAGTCACTGAAGCGGTAGGCATCAGCTTAAATGGATTCCAGAGGATGGTAGAAGACAGGAAGGTCTGGAGGAACATTGTCCATAGGGTTGCGATGAGTCGGACACGACTTCGAACTAACAACAAATAAACAGCATGGTCATTGCTACCATATCCATGCAGACCAAATTTAAATATGATGAACATAGGTAATGTATAAATATCTTGTGTTCCACAGAGAACCAAAGGACATTTGTTCCTAGAATTAATGGAAAAAGTATCAATCTAATTTTAATAAATTATTGTAAAACTTTTTTTTCTTAACATTCAAAAGAGTTACACTTATGTTCATTATTGCTTTGCTTACAATAGAAATTTAAAATTGTCCACTTTCATCTTAATCACTATCAAACCATCTTTAAAAGGACCTGATAGCTCATTAACAGCTTCTGATATTCCAAAAATATCCATTATTTATCTCAAGATATGAGTTGATCTATATAAGATCTTTTCATTCAGTTCCACTAATGGCAGTGTCTGATATGTATTTGCATCTAAGATTTTTGTCCTGGTTAGACAAAAGGTAGAAAACTTTTCTGTTATTAGTTTGCAAAGACCAATTTTGTTCCTTAACCCTTGAACTCTAAAAAGATCCAATGTAAGACTGAAAATAAAAGGAATGGTAATTGAGACAGTAAAACAAAGAGCACACTCAAGTCTTACATTCTTAATACAACAATCTTATGATAATAATCTGGGATAGAAAAGGTTTAAACAGAGGAATGGTCCTTCTGTTCTACTGGCCAGATGACAGAAGATGGATGCTGAAATCTGATTAAGATGACTTCTTAGCTGAGTTGATGATAACTCTGTTTCACTTTACTTCCCTGATGAAATGGCTGGTGACAAGTGATAGTTGATGGAAATAGGAGTGTGATAAAGCTGCAGCTGATTGTGGCCCTGTCTCCTTCAGTCTCTCTGCTATGAACCTGATATAATGACTACTGCCAGGTGACAGCTGATATGGCTTCTCAGCGGAGCTTACTTCTCTTCATTCGTTCTGCTGCCAGCCTAATAGTTTAATATGAAGGAAGAGTTATAAGCCACTGGCCTTTCAACGTCCATTAATCCTTTAGCTAGAATTTAATGCAATTTTCTCCAACCTACTGCTGTTGAGATGAGTTGGCATTGTAGCTCCCAGAATCTCCAATAAATATACTTATACTTTTAAAGAGTTGGGCTCTGACATACCTGATGGCACTAAACTGGAAAGTACTATTATATCTGGCAATTTGAGGAGTTGCAATTTTTAAACTATCTGAAGACTGGAAGACTGAAAAGCAGGAGTGAAATCCAGCAGGTTCTGACAGGTTCTGGAGAATCGGTAGCGGAAATTTTGAGCAGTTCGGACAACCACTAGTGGAAATTTTGAGTAGTTCAGAGATCCGGCAAATACCACCTCTGGCTGGCCCCAGAGTGGGGAGGAAATGGGGATTTTGCAGTATCCTTCCCCTACCATGCCCACCAAGCCACGCCCACAGAACTGGTAGTAAAAAAAATTGGATTTCACCATTGGTGAAAAGCCAATTTAATTTGGTGTAGGTATAGTAAATCTATTAGCTTTTTTTTTTTTAAAGCTTGGTTAACTTGGCAGATGATGAAGATCCTGACAGTTGTAGTTTACTAATATCTCGAAAACCATAGTTTCCGACTGTATTTTTTCCCCTTTGAGAGGAAACATATTGAGGATGAGAAATTTTGTTTGCTCATATCTTTAAAAAATGGAAAGATCCATTGAAGAGAATGGGGAAATAAAAATTATCTGCATGAAGGGTTGAACATAACCTTCCTTCTCAACGAGTTATTCTTCAGCAGCTTTCTATTACTTTTTTTAATGTATAGAAGAGAAAACTAGATAATAGGCATTTTGATCAAATAATGAAAATAAATGTTCTCTGCATTTCTTGAACTATAGTTTGGTATTTCTTCCACTTATCTTTAATTAGACAAAGAAGCTATTTTAGCTAGCAATAGTATTTTATTATCCATTTTATTGCTGACTTAACCCACATTCAAGCAGTTAAGTAACTGGTCCGTATAATGGCATACAGTAATAGTATCTGTGGGTTATAGTGATTTTTATATTTGTGTTAATTGTTAATAAATGCTACTCTTTCTGCCTAGGGAATACTTGTATTGTGTTTGTGTCTCTCTCCAATTGTTATAATAGCTATTAATGTGTACTTTAGGTTACACATTTCTGTCAAAAGACTCTGGAAGCATATATGTACATAATAGGTTAACAAGGAAATAGTATCCAATCCAGCGATTTTGACCTTTGGGGCTAATCTTAATCCTACTTTAAGTTTAATTTACTGTTCAGTCTCTCCTCAGAAACCAATTTAAGATGTCATCTGAACCAACAAATATTCCATTTACACTGAAATTACTTTCCCTGTTGACATTATTACAACTGTTAGCTGTGTGAAAGGAGGTGATCTGAAGTCAACTGAAAATACTCCAATAAAAGTAAGTGCACTTTCTTAAATGGATTGGAGATCACAGCTTAAAGCTCCAGCAACAATATAGTGCCAATTAAGATAAAGTGTGGGAACTTAAGCCAAAACCTTCCCAAGAAAGTTCATGAATTGAAATTTAAATCTATTAAATCTTTCTTTATTAGTTTGTGAATTAATTGAGCAGCCTGAGAATATAGAAGCTTCCAGAGATGACCTACCTCAGTAAACCTTCAGTGAAAAGGGATAAACAGATCATTTCCACATAGTATCCTATGTAATTTAAATTTACCTTGTAGTTCACCGTGTAGAAATTATTCTTGACTGGATGGAACTATATCAACAAATGCTATACTACACTTGTAAATGCATTTTCTTCCTGGTCGTCAATATTGCTATAATTGTAGGATAAAAAAAAAATGAAGATTGTTCATGTTCTGCAGTACTAATAAGTCAGAGCCTATGTTCTAAAGTTCTCTGGGCTTCTCCCTTCTTTCCCAAACAAAAATATACTTGATAATTGACTAGATAGCTGAGATATTTTTACCCTATTCCCTCTAACTCTAGACTAAGGTCTGTTGTCTTTCCAGATTTCTCCCTTGCACTAATTGCTTGCTTCCACTGCTCTGCCCACAACAGAACTCCTTGTGTGTTGTCTCAGCTGAAAAACAATTTTCTGGTGGCCAAACCCACATACAAGTTATCACAGTCTATCTGCCTGTTGACTAAAGCATCTCACAGGGTTTTTAAGCAGGCAAGGGTACCTATTGGCTAACATCAGGGTTACCCAATGGGTAGACTGGGTTGAATGGATTTTTGAAGGTCCACTTTCATCCATAAATTAGCACCATTATATATTACCTAAGAGGCAGCTTGCACTAACAGGATTATTCCCCTAACCCTAAACATGATTTTAGTTTGTGGATAACTCTGGCATTGCATGTCAAAACAACTGGACGCAAAGAGAGTTCCCCCTACCCCCCATGCCATCATCCTACTAAAAACCTAATTCCCACAACACTGTCGTATGCCTAAGGATATTTAATCTATGTATTAGGGCTATATTACTATTACCCTTCTCATCTTTCCTATTACCTTCTCCTATTGGTATCTTATTATTTATCACAGTGTTGTTTGTAGGTACACTGAGAACTTATGAACCAGAGACAAATTTCTTGTGTGTCCAATCACACTTGGCCAATAAAGAATATTCTATTCTATATTCTATTCTATTTATATATGTTCCTCCAAACAGTTGCATTAAAATGCTGAATTCTACAAATTGGCCCTGGTTATGTAATAAACTTTCTGTTCTTGAAATTGTGTTGACAAGGGTTGAAACAATTATCAGAATAAAATCTATCATTATCTCCAAGAGTGCAAGATATTTAGAACAGTCCAAAATTGCATACTGCTTCTAGCTATCCTCTAAGATTTGCATAATAAAGCAGTTGAATCCTCTTAGACTTGCAGCTATTCTCAAGATAGCATGGGGATTTCTAGATTAACGTAATTTTTTTCAGTGGTTTTGGAAATGGTTCCTTGTTCAAGAGGAAGAGGATCTATTTTGAATATTTAAAAAGTGAAGTCTTGCTATTTATGTCAGAAACAGCTTCGCTCAGAATATAACGGGCAAGTTCAAGCTTCAGATCTTTCTGTTTTAAATGTAAATGGGAGAGTTTTTGATACCTTGTTTATAAAAGGGATGGAGATCTCAGTAAATTGGAGAAGTATCTTTTTTTTTTTAATCATCCCTTTAAAAAGCAGGATAATATGGGATAGAGATAAAGACAGCTGTGTTCTCTTACTGGATTCAACAGAAATAGACTCAGATAACTCAGAAATCATATTGACATTCATTTTAAAAATAAAAATATTGTAATATCAGGTATCTAGTTATTTGAATATCCTAATATTTATAGCTTTCCTATTCTGAAATTGTGACTTTAATTAGAAATTTATCATTTTCATCATTTAAATGTCTAATCATATTGAGTATCTTGATTTTATAGAAATGTGTAGTGCCAATCAAACACAAAATGATATTTATTAAAATGTTTAACAAAATCGAGTTAGCTCTGAAATCTTTGATATTCTGTGTTAGATTCTGAGTTAAATGAATACAATTTGACTCTACCTCAATAAGAGCTATGGTAGTGATCATCATATTCTATGGGATTTCTTGCAAGCTGCTCATTCAACAATGAGATATATGTACCTTATGATTTAATGGATACTCTTTGATCTTATGCAGCATATACATAGTTATTGAATCAGTCTTACTCCCAGATGAGTGTGCATAGAATTAACCAAATAAATTTTAATTATATAGTAGTTTCCGAAGCTCTTTGACTGAATGCCAATTGTTTTGTCTGTTCTTACAGTTGTGCCTAATGACTTGAAAAAACTAATGCATGTAATTATTGAGGCCTAAGTGTCTTAAGGTATGGCTGTTTTTCTTTGCCAGCCATTAAATTATTTTTTTCATTTTTTTAAGCCTGACTTAAAATCTATCTTGCAGAAATGAAAGAATTATTTCACAACATAGTCATAATAATTGTATTTTAAATAAATGCCCACACTGGCATTTCTAATTCTGTACATTACATTCTATTTTTAAAAAGTGCTGAACATTTGACTGATTGAAATTTTTCAGTATTATATTAATATAGCAATGTTGATATATTAATAGCTATTAAGTTGAAATTTAATTTAAAAGACGTTTGAGGTATGACTTGTTCCCTTTAAATACACCTTACCAACTCAGTAGTATTTCTTTTAAATATGTATTAATAGGATGACCCTATACATGCATTAATCTTTCTATTTCTTAGGCTTATCTAACCATATGTGTTTTTTTTTCAGCAAAAATGAATTAAACCTGGAATGGCTAAAGATTATTTTCTTTTGCCTTCTTATGTAAGTAAACATAAATTATTGATAAACATAAATGGCTCTCTTAAGAGCAGTTTTGTTTTCAATGTATAGTACTTGTCAATGCATAGAGTTTTATCAATGCTGTCTATAATACTCCAAACTTTATTTTTGATTATGTGCAAACAAGCTACTCTAACTGAAGGAAGAGTAATACCCTCAAATCAGGGGTGAAACGATTTTTGTGTATTTGATGTTTGAATAATGTTAGGAGGTATCTTCCTCCTTCTCTTTGGTCTTTCTTTTTTTCTTTTTTTTTTCCTTTATTTCTTTTCCCCTCTCTTATTTTTTTTAATTCTCTTCTTAATTTTTCTTGTTATATCTTTATTCTTTTTTTCCTCTCTCTCTCTGTTTCCTTTTTATTTTTTATTGCTATTATTATTATTATCCTTACTATCCTCTCTCTTTACTTTTACCTTAATTGAAGCTGACTATATAAACATATAAAGATTAATTTGATTAGGAAATAAGAGTATAAATGATTGTGATTTTTGAATGAATTTTTGAATAATAATAGCACTTAACAATTACAGAAAATTGATCTTAAAGTGGTTCAAAACGTTGCTTTTCATAGAAAAATAAGAAATAAGCATGAAATGGAAGAAATTTAGAGAAAATTTAAAGCTTAGGAGAGAGCAAGTGAGAAGATATTTGTTACAATACATTTCTATTTTAAATTAGTAGGAGACATGGAGGAGAATATGTTGAAAAATAATACCGGTAACATATTGTGAATTAGTTAAAACTAGATAGCCAAATAATAGATGCAGGAGTGGAGGAAAGCATAAAGCTGGATAATAGCTAAAATAAAATGCTATGAACCAGCTAAATAAATGAAGTTAGGAGTGGAGGAAAACATGACTCTGTAGAACAGTTAAAGCAAAGCTGTGATCCAGTTTAACAAATTGAGGTAGGAGTGGAGGAAAGCATGATGCTGGAGAACAGTTAAAGCAAAGCTGTGAACCAGCCAACAAATAGGTTAGGAGTGGAGGAAAGCACAATTCTGGAGATCAGGTGAAACAAAGTTGTGAGCCAGTCACAAATAGAGGTAGGAGTGGAGGAAAGCATTGCTGGAAAACAACTAATTGAGTTGTGAACCTGTTTAACAAAAGATTTAGGAGGAGTGGAGGAGATAAGGTTGGAGAGCAGTTAAAGCCAAACTGTGAGCCAGCCAAGTAAGTAAGGTTAGGAGTGGAGGAAAGCATTGCTGGAAAACAGCTAATTAAGTTGTGAACCAGCCAAAAAATAAACCTAGGAGGAAGTGGAGGAGATAATACTGGAGAATAGTTAAAGCAAAACTGTGAACCAGTTAAACAAGAAGAGATAGGAGTGGAGGAAAGTACTGCTGGGAAATAGCTATTTAAATTATGAACCAGCTAAATATTAGATTTAGTAGTAATGGAGAATAAGCCTGAAGTAAGCAAATATAAAATATTTTGCGAGTAATAAATTATAGATGAAAATGTTGAATGAATGTTAAAATGAATCTATTTTGAAATGACTTTAAGAGAGGAGAAAAATATTTTATGTTAAGACTATGGACATTAGATGTCATTTAAGAGAGGTAAAATAGAGATTTGATGTAATGGGTTTTAGGATTAAGGAATATATATGAAATACTGATTGTTAAAATGATAAAAATTTAGAATGATGTGTATTTGGAAATGATTGAATATAAGAAGGAGCTGTGTATATTTGGAGTTAAAGATTTAGGATGATACAATAGAATGTTAAATGTTTAGAATAAGATGTTAGAATGTATGATAAAAAATCGGGATTGGATTATTTTTTTTAAAGATGTAAATGGATGAAATATGGAATTGAATTGGTTAAGGGAGTGTGAACAATTGTACCTATTCTATACTGGATCAAACCTTTGCTCTAAAAAGGTGTATTTTATGTTTTACGTTTAAAAATAAATTAAAAAAAATTTTCCAAAAAAAAATCGGGTGAAATGCTCCTGGTTCGGACTGGATCGCCTGATGGAGGCAGGTGGTTCGGAGAACCGGTAGCAAAAATCCCTGCCCCCCCCATGCCCAGCTGAGCCGCGCGATCATCAGAGGCTTTTTTTTTTATTTTTAAAAGCATTTTTTCTACAATCTCTTCAGAGGTTGTAGAAAAAAAGCTTTTAAAAGCCTCTGATGATCCCAGTTGAGTTGCCTGATTGGCAGAGGCTTTTTTTCTTTTAAAAAATATTTTTTCTACAATCTCTTTCTAACCAAAGTTGATGTATGTATGTATGCATGCATGTATGCATGTATATATGTATTCATTCATTCATTCATTCATTCATTCATTCATTCATTCATTCATTCATTATGCTTCTGGACTTTGTGCATGAGGTGTGGAAAAAATGAAACTTTGATATTGGATTTTACTGATTAGATAGGTTTGTTGTTATAGAAATGGCTAGTTTATACTATTATGTAAAAGTAAATGGTTGATATTTGGAGTTATTATTTTATTCTCCTGCACCAAGGGAAGTCAGAAGTCAAAAGTCAATGCCTTTCCCCCCACCCACTTTTCCCACACTTTTCCCTTCCCTTTTCCTTCCCCTATCTTTCCTAATATTTTCTTTTGTATTACTGTATCTTATAATATTAATGCAAAACATCTTTCTATATGAGGTCACCATCATCATGTGGCTTTTTGTAAGGTATTTTCATGAAGGTGCTTTTAATATACCTTGCAAGACTGCTACAATAAAACTCTGTTTAAATTTCTGCCTGTAAGAGTTGGCTTAAGCCATGAATTATTACTTTGTGAAATTAAGGAATCTTGGCAAAATTTCCATTCAAATTTAGTTTTAATGTAAAATGTCAGAATATCATGTGGTTTACAATGAGATCATTCAATTAACAAAAGAGCTTCTCAGACATGTACTTTTGATATACATGTAGCATAGACAATATGTCCATATAGCAGAATCAAAAGGATAAAAGTTTTCAAACACATTTCACAACAGTATGCTGCTGAGAAAACAGGAACATGTGAAAATTTAATATTTTCCTATTTATTCAATCCTTTATATTAAAAGATGACAATTTAAATTATCATTCTTTACTCAGTTAATAGTTTTTGTTTTATGAGTCTTGAGACAGAAAATACTGCATTTGTAACTATTGACAATGATGAATCCACATATAGACGGGAGGTTGAACAACTAGCCTCGTGGTGTGACCGGAACAATCTGGAACTGAACACACTCATAACGGTAGAGTTGGTGGTAGACTTTAGGAGAAACCCTTCCATTCTTCCACCTCTTACAATACTAGACAACACATTATCAACAGTAGAGACTTTCAAATTTCTAGGTTCTACCATATCGCAAGATCTAAATGGACATCTAACATCAAAAACATCATCAAAAAAGCACAACAAAGAATGTTCTTTCTGCACCAACTCAGAAAGCTCAAACTGCCCAAGGAGCTGTTGATGCAGTTCTACAGAGGAATTATTGAGTCTATTATCTGCACCTCTACAACTGTCTGGTTTGGTTCTGCAACCCAACAAGACAGACACAGACTTCAGAGGATAATTAGAACTGCAGAAAAAACAATTGCTACCAACCTGCCTTCCATTGAGGACCTGTATACTGCACGAGTCAAAAAGAGGGCTGTGAAAATATTTACAGACCCTTCACATCATGGACATAAACTGTTTCAACTCCTACCCTTAAAACAACACTATAGAGCACTGCACACCAGAACAACTAGAAACAGGAACAGTTTTTGCCCGAATGCCATCACTCTGCTAAACAAATAATTCCCTCAACACTGTCAAATTATTTACTAAGACTGCACTACTATTAATCTTCTCATTGTTCCTATCACCCATCTCCTTCTGCTATTGACTGTATGGCTGTAACTTTGTTGCTTGTATCCTTACAATTTATATTTACTGTTTCCTAATATGATTTGATTGGTTATTTGTACCCTATGACTATCATTAAGTGTTGTACCTTATGATTCTTAATGAATGTATCTTTTCTTTTATGTACACTGAGAGCATATGCACCAAGACAAATTCCTTGTGTGTCCAATCACACTTGGCCAATAAAAATTCTATTCTATTCTATTCTACTCTATTCTATTCTATTCTATTTTATTCTATTCTATTCTGGTTTCGGATAGATATTGTGGTTTCATTAACCTATTATTAGCCAGTTCCTGATTCTTCCTATCTTTTGTAATTCAATAATAGTCCACTTTATTTTGGCTATCAGAGCACTGAAAACATATGCTGTGTTTCAGATATATGCACTTTACATAATATTTGGAAAAAACTGACACCTATAACAACCTGCCTTTGATATTCCAAATGAGCATCCGTTGCACTTTTGATGCACCATAAGTTTATTATTGTCCACTTTTAATTGTGGAATTGATTGAGCTACTGTTCAGTAAAATGATACGTCAGTTGCCATTTACAATGGGGTAAATCAGTCCTATTCAAACTGTTCACCATATTGGTATGTACTCTTCAGGGTGAAGAAGGGAATGAATATATATCATGTACCAATTGAATGGCGCTCTCTTTGATCATCACCACCTGCACACATGGACAAAGTACATTCATATAGTCATTCAAGAAGCTCTCTTTGAGCCATGGTGGCACAGTGGTTAGAATGCAGTACTTCAGGGTAATTCTGCTGACTGTAGGCTGCCAGCATTTCAGCAGTTCAATTCCCACCAACTCAAGATTGACTCAGCCTTCCACCCTTCCAAGGTCAATAAAATGAGGAGCCAAATTGTTGGGGGCAATATGCTAACCCCAACCCTAATGATTGTTGAAAAAGCCAGTTGCATGTATTAATATCTAGTAAAGTAAGTAGATCCTGATTCTGGAGAATATCAGTACAAATCATTTTACAACTAATAAGAAAAATAATATTTCTGCTCATCAATAATCTTGTTGTTCAGTTGCTAAATTCTGTTTGACTCCTTGCACCCCTATGGACCCCAGCAGGCCAGGCCCCCCATGTCCTCTTCTGTTTCCTGGTGTTTGCCGAAACCCATGTCCACTGCAGCAATGACATTATCTAACCATCTCGTCGTCTGCCTTCAATCTTTCCCAATATCAGGGTCTTTTCCAATGAATCCTCTCTTGTCATTTGGTAGCCAAAGTATTTGAGCAATGATGTTGGTACATATAATCAAGTATGAAACTAAATTTATAATTACAGATATTTGTACTAAAAATATTATTGTTTCCAACATAATTAAGATATAAGACAAGTTCTCATGGACCAACGGTGATTTTCAAGTGTGTGTGCTCTGTTCGTTTTATTAATTAATGAGAAAGCATTTCTTATCTTATACTGCCAGATCTCTCTGTAATGGAAGACAATGGCAACTTTCCCAGTGACCTCAGTGGAAACGAGATTAGATCTATCATTTTCATATATTACACTTCAAGGAGCT